TCTTCAGAAAACTGAAGATTCTTGTTGTACAAATCTTTGGAGAACACATATATGATCTCTATAGGGGACAAATGAAGATCATTTTTTTTGTTTTTTGAAGAACACAGATTTTTAACAGTGTAGGTTGCGCACGAAATATAAAATTCTTATTTATGCTTCGAAGGATAACTAATAAACAAAGGAACAGGAAACAGACTAGTAATATTGTCTCTTAAAAAACTAAGCTACGTGACTACTTTTTAAATATCTCGAGAAGGAAATGTGGTAGAGAGTTTGAGTTTTCATCATTCAAAAGAAGAGACTTTGGAACACATTTTTGTATCATTAAAGCACCTTTTCATTGTCAGTTCAGCTATATAGAAAGAAAAAAGAAAAAGAACTTTAGGGCTTTTCTTGTAAATTCTATAACTTTGTAAAGAAAGATCATGTAGAGATGGAAGATGTCTCTTTTTGATCAGACTTTTGCGGGCTTCAAATATGACTTATTAAGAAAAGTTTCGGAGATTTTTTGGAGTTTCTGGAAAATTGATTTTCCAGAAAACCAATCTTTGAAGGCCTAAGGGCTGGTTCCATGTTGATATCCGGATTCAGTACGGTCGATAACCTACTACCCCTAGGTTTCGACCAGAAAGCGATTAGACAGTTGGAAAAGGTCCCTCGTAGGTACAAATGCATGGCTTTGTCACGCTTTTGATTCCTTTGATTTCTATTATGCGTACTGTGTACAGGTGTTTAAAGTTGACTTAGTAAGAAAACACAATTAAAGTCTCTTCCATCTTGTCCAATCGTTTATAAACAAGGCATTTGATGATCGTAGAAATAGGGTGTGTCCTATTCTAACTAACGTAGTTTGAGAAATATATGACAAGGAAAAAGTAGAAAAATATTCTTTCTATATAAATTTTTTATTAATTCTACCATTCAAAGTTGTTCATTGAATACACACACATATCTGACGATGGACAATATTTTCGTGTTTTTGTTATGTTGCACCCGTATTTTCCTGTTGATTTAATTCTCCTTTTCTTCTTCTTTCTGTTCTTATCTTGCTGTTCTTTTTTCTTTTGTCAAGTTCTTTTTTTTTCTACTAGTATAAAAGCTGTAACAAGAGAACATAGTGTAAGGAGCAACGTAGATTTTTTCTTCACGTGGAAGTCATTCTTTTAATCCGTGTCCTGTGGATGTTACCAAAAAAATCAAAAGTTATCTTCTTATAGAGCCATTCTTAAGCGATAGTAAACATACACTTTTCGCTCTCTCGCTCTCAATTACTGATGGAACATAGTGACGGAGGACCATTAACAAATGGTAACTGTGTTCCTTGTGATGAAAAAAATTACGCTATTCAACTGATCGATGTTGAAAAACATTTTGGACAAACAGAAGTTTTAAAATCAATTTGTCTCAATCTTGAACGAGGAGGAATGTAAGTTAATTTTAAAATAAGAAAATTGTAGGGTGGAGACAAAAGTATTGTTACTTTGTTGCCTGCTAAAATATTAGCAGATTGTAACCAGCCTTTGAGTACTATTTTTAGCTTCGCTCTTCTTGGACCCAGTGGTTGTTCTAAAACAACATTAATTCGTGTTATTGTTGGTCGTTTACATCCTGACTCGGGAAATGTCATTGTTCTTGGGAAACCACCGCATTGTTACGATCATCATGTACCCGGAAAACTTATCGGTTATATGCCACAAGAATTAGCGTTATATCGTGAATGTACAATTACTGAACAATTATTTTTCTATGGACGTTTAGCGGATATGAATAAAACAAAAATTAAACAACGTATTAAATTTTTAACACATCTGTTAGATTTACCATATCACAATCAAATGATAATGACATTATCAGGCGGACAACAACGACGAATTTCATTCGCCGTAGCATTGATACATGAACCAAAATTATTGATATTAGATGAACCAACGGTGGGTGTTGATCCAGTATTAAGAAAAAAGTAAGTTAATTCGATATTCAGAGAAAAATATTGATAGGACTAATGACTTGAGATTACATATTTTCCAATTTGTTTTTAAAAATAAACTATTATTTTCATAACAAAAAAACAACAACATATTATTAACATTATTTTGCATATTTTATTATAAATATGATTAGTAGTTAATAATACATGACAGAAGACCGTGATCAACTGTGCAGCTTGTTCACGTAACGCGTGACTTCGTTGATTAAGTATTTTGAAAAACAATTTTCGAATTCGATAGGTCTGAATACATGACTAGATGCAATTTTCGACGCTAATCACGAATCTAAAATTTATTTTTCGTAAAAGTTGGATTTTGACGCTATAAATCGGGTTTTAAGATTTTCAAAAACCGTATTTGGAATTTCTTAACCAAGAAATTGTTCGAAAGAAAGTTGGGTGATATGTCCTTAGATGCAGAATTTAATTCTCTACAAAATGGCTTATTAATTTTTGCGATTAGTGCCTTTAAATCAGCTGTACATATTTGTACAATTTCCACCTTTCTGTACAATTTCCGGTCTCCTGAGAGGCTGTAGGAGCCTAATTCTTGTGTAGACTGATTACAATCGATGAAAAATCTAAGCCGTGTTAATATGAAAAGTTTTCGAACGTGCTAAGTGCCCCAAAAGAGGTCTACAAAAAACTGTGTCACTGCGTTACGTTTTTCTTTGACATTTTATAACTCAAGGAAAAAAGTAATCAGAAAAAATCTTTTTACCCTCAGTTAGCTGATTGAAAGAGCTACAAAAACTTCTCTTGGAAGTTTCTTGTTGCTACAATAATGAGCGAGAAAATCTCTGTTTTATGATCATTGGATGCGGTTTAGGGATCTTTTTTTGTCACTGCGTTACGCTCCGTAGAATCTCTCTAACTCCTCAAGAATCAGACCCAACGACTTCATTCTTTCAAAATAAGTAGGGCTTGATGAGATGCATCGAATGACTCAAGAACGAACTTTCTAAGACTTCTATTTTTCGAGAAAAAAGCTTTCATAATTAACCTTGTTATTATATTAGATATTAACAGATCATGTTATTTCATGCATTTTTGTCTTAGAATATGGAATCATTTAATAGAAATAACATTAAAATCAGATGTCACTGCTCTTTTGACTACACACTATGTTGAAGAAGCCCGGCAGGCAACTTTGGTAAGCTTTTTAAAATACTCTTAAGATCTAATAAAAAATATCATTTTTTAATAAAGGTTTCATTCATGAGAAGAGGACAATTATTAGAAACGGGAAAACCAGATGAATTGATGCACAAATATGAACAACAGGTATAAGAAAAAGTCTACAATCATTATTTTCATCTGATATGACTATTATCATTTTTTTAGACATTAGAAGGTGTATTTTTAGAACTTAGTGAAGAACGTGATCATAATGATGTTAATCAGAATTATTCTCATCAAACTAAAAAGGCATCTGTACCTTTCATAAGAAGAGTAAGTTTTAACGTTCGAGTCGATCTAATATTACTTGTAAATGTTTTTTCCCATTAGCTTAAACGATGTTCTGAGTCTTTACTTCGTACGTGTCATCGAAAATTATCAGGTAAATGAGAAGAAATAGTATGATTCATTTATTATTATTATTAATTCTATGTAATTTTTATGTTTTTTAGTCAAAAATAAATGTTCGATAGGTACTCGAACATGTTGTAATAGATCATTTGCTCGTTCACTTGGAGCATTATTAATTAAAGATGTAATTAAATTTCAACGAAATCCACTGTACGTCTCGGCTCTCTCTCTCTATTGATCATTTTGTTTGATAATTAATTTTATTAATCTTATTGTAGAATGCTTATTATACAATTTATTGTACCGGTTATACAAATATCATTATTCTGTTTATCTGTAGGACGAAAATTAACCGGATTACCTGTAGCATTCGTTAGTCGAGAATTTGATCAATTTGGAACAGCAACAGAAACTATTTTACTTAAAGCCGATAGAACAGTTTTCAATATTGTACGTTTTAGATAGTATAGAGTGTTTGCACATAAAATGATCGTTATTGTCCATTTAGATCGAATATGACTCTTTAATAAAAGCTCAACAATCTCTTGACCGTGGTCGAGTATTTGGTGTTATTGATATTGGTGGAAATTTTACAAAAGAATTATTTCAAAAATCGTCAAATTGGTAAGATCTCGACAATTACAAAAAAATGCAGTCACCATTTTACTTGATGAATCAGGATAAAAAATAGTTTTGGAAGATAAGAATAGAAATGGTAAAAATTGAAAGTTCAGCTTGGTTTTGAAAATTTTACTAAATTTTATGATTCTTAAATTTTTGTAGTGAAACATGATTAACCCTTTGTTTACCAGCGTCCAGAATTCAGGACGCTCTTTTTACGTTTCTTGATTTCCGAATAACGGAAAAAGTATGAAAAGAGAACGGACTTTGGACTGAATGGAGAACGGAGTGCGAATTATTAAATGTTTACACTGTTTAGAGAACGGGACTGAAAAGAGAACGGTTCGAATTTTTTGTAGAAGACTGAAAAGAGAACGGTATTGAAAGATATTTTATCACTGTATGCGTACGGTTTCTAAAGTAGAATTTGTCATACGCACGCTTCTTCATATTTACACATCGATACGTAAACAGTAAAAGAACCATATTCTAAACAAAATGATGCGCAGACAATGGCTACCACTGCGAATTTGTAATACGGAAACTGAAGTTAATGA